GCAACAGATTAGAATTCAGGTCAGAAATGCTTGGGATATGGTTCTATATTAAGATAGCTTCTTCTTAGTTGTACTGCAGGCTGGCCTCTTTTGGGCCCTTATCCCCTTGGCCTGGCCTTGTCTGGCTTGGGCAAGAGTTATAGAATTCTTTTAGTACCGCTGAGAAGCGCCTATGGCACCATATCCCACCAATAAGCCTCCTGTCAAAGGAATGCCGTCCTCTCTCTCCACGGGCCAGGAAGCCCGCCATTCAGGCTCGTGCTGGCCTCTGTTCTTCAGCTTCTGCTCTTGCTACTTCTTTGCTACTGCCTTTGCCCAATTCACCTTTATCACTTGGAGCACCAAATTTCTCAGTACAGAGTTCCCAGATTCAATAGATGCACTCTATTTGGAATATTCCTTCTTGGAGTTGTGAGTTCCAGATTTCTACCTCTGGGATGGCTCATTTTAAGTATAGCAGGATGGCAAAACTGACTGCTTTATTTGTGCTACATAAACCTATCTGCATGGTCTCATCACCACAAGGATACTTTTACTTTATTAGAAAGTTATTCAGTCCCCTAGATAGGCAAAAAACACCTCATTTTTGCATAGTGCTTGCCAGTCACTTGGTAGGAGTTACTAATAATATGGCTAGAAGGAAAATAAATAACTATTCACTGCACCACAATGGCCAAAGAATTAAGTGACCAAATAATTGGTGGCTACAGTGAAATTCCAATTCTCTCATTGTCAATTTTCATTCAATAAGGTAGATAGTATACATAGGTAAAGGAATAATTCTTCCCTCTGGAATTCAAATAAAGGTATTTTCATTTTGTTAGAAAATCTTATAGCTCATGATATTCATATTTTACCCTTTTGGGGGTTTTTTGTGTGTATGTTTGTGTTCTTTGGACCTCAGGTTTAACAGCCTGCTTAAAAGTGTTTTTGACTATTATACTCTTTCAAGCAGAAGCTATATCAAATTTTCATTTATCCCTAGTGTTTGCAATTAAGTAGGGGAAGAAGGAGAAAGGGAGGGAGGGAAGAAAAATGACAAGAGAAGAAAGAAATGAAGAAAGGGAGAGAGATGAAAGGAAGGAAAGAAATATTAAATAACCTTTTTTTAAAAAGCAGCTGTTGGGAGAGTTATAACCTACATCAATTGCTAGTTACTATTTATTAGAGGTAGATTTACACCAGAACAAGTGCTTTATTATTCTACAAGTAATAGATTCCCCATTGTTAGAAACAAGAATTATGTATTTTTCCAGGGGCCACTGTCTCCTGATAACATGTCTAAAGTATCTAAGACAACATTTTACCATTCTTGCTTCTAAGGAACATTCTGGCTGTACTTTTTCCAAGACATAGTAGTTTATTCTTTTAGCAATCCATGGTACTTTCAATCTTCTTCACCAGCACAATGGTTCAAAGGCATCTGTTCTTCTTTGGTCTTCCTTATTTAATATCCAACTTTCATATGCATATGAAGTGACTGAAAATACCATGATGTAGGTCAGGCATACCTTAGTCTTCAAAGTAA